TTCAGAAAATATTTTTTGCATTAAATAATTTATAGCATTTGTCAGATCTGTTTTTAACTTCGAAAATAGTTAAGTACTTTCTCGAATTACAAATATTTTACTTCTCAGAAATTAATCACATTGTTTCCACATATTTCCACATTAACATGAATTACCACTGCAAAGCAGCTGGAATGCTGCTTAATGAAGCCTCCTTTTGCATATCCTTCTTCTCCTCAGTTTCCATATTTGCTCAACTTTTACACCAATTCACCGAGCGTTTAGCGCGTTTTATCCCTGTAACCGTTTTTCGCGAGCGCGTGGTGATTCCTAACCGACTGACGATAATTTGTGCATGCGCTTAGCGAATTACAGCGACTTTTATACCGTTAGATGGCAAGACCTACGTATTAGCAGCGTTTTAGGTGTGTTAACTCCACGTTGGTGCATTGGCGCCTTCAACTATGCAATTGGGAATGCGTTCTCCGGCTAAGTTAGGATGTAAATGAGTTTTGGGACACCCCACTATCTGTCACGTTCGTTGCCAAAACTCCCAATTGAGAATTTACGCTCACTGAAATTGATATAAATGCGTCCGCCATTCTGCTTTCTTCGCAACACTTTCGCCACTTGTGGCCGTTATTGACTCTCGCTTTCATTTGCGAGCTATGAAAATTTCTACCTCGTAGTGCCCCTTTTCAGTGTTATGACGGCAATTAATTAATGTTCATGTCAACATCCAACGCTAATCCCAATTGGGATCGCGGTGCTGATGAGCTTTTAATTCGCTCACCTTTATTATTGTAGATAGATGTGAATTAATGAAATAAATACATTCGTAGCACCTGTGAACAAATATTAATAGTGTGTGCTGAGGGTTTGGCATTTGTAGAGTTATTACTCGTCTATTAGGTCGACACTCAGTTTTTTGGGCTACCGAAATTTGCATTGAATACTCTGATAATATTTGGTATATATGACTGTATGCAATATCCGACTTATATAAATTTTTCATTAAAAAATTCTAACTTAAACGAACGGAAGATTATAGAAATAATATTTCCATTAAAATACAAAGCAGACATTAAATACAAGAACAAATGAAGAAATCGTTAAAAAATGCCTGCACCTACAATATTTTCTCAGCTTCTGTTACCTCGAGCCAAGAGTGTGATTAGAGAGTTGCAACCAACCATATTGAAGTGAATTAAGCACAGTAAATAGCCCCATTCATACCTTGAGAAAGACTCCAGAAAGCATTAGGGAGATATCGCTTGCCAGAAATCCATAAGTAAGGAGAAGTAATGGCCAACTAAAATTAACATAAGAAAGTCGTTACAACTACATAAACCTACAWATTGGCGTTACAAAAATATTTCCCAAAATTTGTTATGTTTTATTTGAGAAAAAAATGTTTACATSTAACAGAAACACCTCTTAAAATTTTTAATATACTTTGAGTCACAGTTCCTTTTAATGCTCACTGAAGCTAGTCAGCGAAGGCTTCTGACCAGCATTACAATGGGAAAAGTTTGAGCACTCAAAATTCGGATGGTGGTGTTATACACAAAAGAAAATTCTCAGAAGCCAGGATCAAATTAATACTATTAATCATTGTTTGAGTCATAACTGATGCATACATAATTTGTGCTGCTAAAAAAATAATTGAACCTGCATAATCTAGATTCTCGCGTTACCTACCAGTTTTTCCAACAAAAATGATCTGATATCTACGTGTCATTTTGGCTATTTTTAATATGTCATGATTTGGGCATACATTTGATTTACAGCTATTAAGAGAAAGATTCGCTTAAAGTAACGAACATATTACTGCCGTTCAGGCAAGTGTTGCTAAAGACCTCAATTTATCGAATCCAACCTGTTCTCAAGAATTTGTATTCGAAACACAACCTGGCGAATTTTGAGAAAAGATTGGGGCTTGTATCTATATAGAATTGTTCTCACTCAAGAACTGAAGCCATTGGACCAACGTAAACGTCGTGAATTTCCTGATTTTGCTTTGGAGCAACTTTAAAACGATAACGACTTTTTTAAGAAAATCATCTTCCTCCATGAGACTCACATTCATCCGAGTGATGCGAAAAATTAAAAAAAACTTTCGATTTTGGTACGAAGAAAATTCACAAATTATTCATGAACAACCTTTATATTCACATAAATTGACAGTTTCGTGCGATTGTTGGTGTGGTGGAATCGTCACTCCGTACTTCTTTCGAAATGGAGCAGGTAACACCTTTACTGTCAATGAAGACCGGTGTAGATCGATGATAACAAACTTKTTATGGTCAAAATTGGAAGAAGTTGATCTTGACAACAACTGGTAYCAGCAAGACGTGACTACATGMMACACAGTACGTGCAACAACCGAATTGTTGCGAGAAAGGTTTAGAGATTCGATTATTTCAAGAAATTGTGACATTGCATAGCCTCCAAGAAGTTGTGATTTTACATCATTATACTACTTCCTGTGTTGTTAATTCAGTCATTCATCTTTAGCAATAAAAGCCTCTTTCAAGCCTTAGAGGTCAATATTAAACGTGTTATTCGTTATATACGACTTGATAAAGATAAAAGAATACTCGAAAATGCGTTCATCAAATTCGTTTCTGCAACAGCAGTCGTGGAAGCCATTTGTATGATGTTATATTCAGAACATAATTCTATCGATTGTACACCAGCTTAATACTACTTTCTACAAAATAAAAAATATTTGAATTTCCTTAACATTTGGAGTGGTAACAATTTTACAGTTAACTTTACATGCGCCAACTCTATTTCCATACTACAACCCAAGTCAGTGTGTGTTTTTACTGTTGCCATGCTTGTAAGTTTAAATATATTGGTTGCTTATTAGGGTGGTCCATAATATTACAGAAAAAAGTTATAAGGCACTTGTGAATATAGTGGTAATATTCGGAATTCATAATTTTAACGTAATCAGACAYATGTATATAGCCACATCTAGACCAACAGAAATATATATAGAGCTACATACCATTGCTAGGAAAATATACACAAATGTATGAATTCCTAATACGAAAAAGTAAATATTTGAATAGAAATCATTCTGTAATACGCTTCATCTGTATTTCGAGCTCAAAAAATTATAATAGTGGTGTCAAATTCCGTACAAAAGTTCGATAAGAAATTCCAATGAATAATCCCATAAATAAAAAGCTATTGAATTTTATTCCAAAAACTCTACAGATCACCCTAATAAAAAACTTCGTCTGCTCGACCGTCTTGTTGTTGTGCACATTTTCAACACAATTGCTCGAATAACAGAAATTGCTGTGACTGCATTTTAAATCAACTGCTGCCGCAAGTGCTTAGCCTAAAGCCAGTGGARCGACAGGACTAAGCAGTGGGCAATGCCGAGACCGGTGCGACAACATGGACACGCTTCCAACTGCCAGTATATTGCAGTACCTGTAGCGCATTAGCATTGCAGTATCTACAATGGCAAGCAACAACAATAACACTAACAATGCACAAAGTTGGCAATAAAAAGTGAATTGGTTGCAATGAATTGCCACTGAATTAACATTGCGTCACCGCCAGACACTCGCACCAGAGCAGAGCGCACGCTTGTATGCAGGTAGAGGTGTATACTTGTAGCGTTGTTCACCTTTGCTTGCACACGTGCTGATGAAGAAACATTTTATGACACCGTTTTAGGGAAGTTTGTTGCATTTGAAATGACTCAATTTGCACATGAAATACTTTCGCCATAATGGTTTGCGGATTAACTCAGTTCTTATTGTTTGTACTCCATTGTGAATGAGGTGGATTAATGCTGTCAGCYGTAATTGGACATTAACATTTGGAACTTTGTACGCATATTATGGAAAATTTGGAGTAAGCCGTCTTGCAGGAGATTCTTTCTTTAGATAAATTGCATATAACTTTTTCTGGTGATAATTGATGTATTGTTAGGACAGAACMGACTTCACTTATCTCCTCTGCCACACTACATTACCAAAGAAAGGTTTGGCAAGCCATTCCCAATAACTGCTGTTATACGAGTTATTCGAGGTAGACACAATTTTATGAGGTTAGGTATGAACTTTTTTATGAAATTCCTCTAGAGAACAAATGAGATTAAAGATATTGATATCTCTTAAGAATACTGAATCCGTATTAAAACTACGAAGATAACTTTTGTAATCTCATCTAAAAATTATGTGTAGAAGTTCACGCAAATGAGGAAAGTTCTCTGAATGCCATTCAATTGGGATTTTCCAGAAACGATTCTTTTAAATATGGTTCAAGCAGCTCACGACTTCCGGTCTTAGACCAAGTATCCTATGGGTAGCCCTCGCCAGAGTTGTGGGCTGGGTTAGGGACCCGCCACATAAAAACGTTCCCAATGAAAATGAAACAAAAGCTTCGGAAGATAAATACTCCTTTTGATAACGACAATGCACACACATTAAGGATGCTACTTCGGTCTGAGTAAGCAATAGAGAAGTAAAGTCCTCTCTCGATGAACAAAAATCAAACTCTATTAGTTACTCATTATTCCCGTACTGCGATATGGTGCAGATGCATGGACGATGACAACATCTGATGAGTCGACGTTACGAGTTTTCGAGAGAAAGGTTCTGCGGAGGATATATGGTCCTTTGCGTAATGACCACGGCRAATATCGCATTGATGGAACGATAAGCTGTATGAGTTATTCGATGACATTGACATAGTTCAGTGCATTAAAAGACATTGGTTACGCTGGCTACGTCATGTCGTCCAAATGGCAGAAGATACTTCAGCTCTGAGAGTATTCGATGCAGTATCTGCCGGGTGAAGCARAGAACGAGGAAGACCTCTACTCCGTTGGAAAAACCAGGTGGAGAAGGACCTGCTTCCGTTTGGAATTTCCAATTGGCGCCACACTGCGATAGTTGTTAATTCAGCAAAAACCTTGTAAGGGGTGTCTACGCCAGTAAAGAAGAAGACAAATAAAAGCTTTTGGGAATACTATGCTATTACTCAATCTTTTCCGCACTAAATTATGTGTTATTCTTGTAAGTTAGAGCTTGAGAACAAACTGAATTACATTAAGCCACACTTAACATATCACGGTAATTCGCAAAATTACCAATAAAACTGAGGATTAAAAGTCATTCATTTTCATATTTTCTTGTTCGTGTTATATCTGATATCACATCATAAATTTGGGAGTCAAACTTGAACAGGACTACCAAAAAATAAACCAAATGCGCTCTTTAACCAGCATAATTTAATTWGCATGCAGTTTTGAGCATCCGCTGGGATGGCCAACAGCGTCTTTAGCGAATTATGGTTTCTTCGGTTTTGACGAATTTTCGGAACTCCATTCGATAGATTGTTCATAAACCCACACCTTGCCACCAACTACGATACATTTGATGTATTTAGGGTCCTCAGCTACGTTGTCAAGCATCTCTATTCGGCTTCGGTTTGGCAACGATTCAACTCTCACCTCAATAGCAAAAACAGCGAACATTTTGCTGAGTTTTTCCAGAAGTTTCCTGCAAGAAATGATCTGGAACCTGGCACATGAGCACACAATTTCCATGAACTGAATAAATCTCTGCTGCTGAAAATGTTAAAAAAAAAAAAAAATATATATAACTGATCTTATGTTTTCTATGCTTTAAAGTATTTTGGTTATTTTTTTTTTTTTTTTTGTTGTTTTCACTTTCTCTACATAATATTTTGTCTAACTCTTTAAATAAATATTTCAAAGTTGCTTTCGATTTGTAATAATTGATGCTTCGTAGTTTACTTCATACTAACCTTTATGAGKAGTAGAACAAACTTCCCTTTAACTTCCAAAATAAAATAAAGCGGTAGAGTTGATTAGTTATATATCCTTTATTATTATGTTTCTTTTTTTGTTACAATACTTTGGTGGACTTTTAAATATGTTTCTTAAAGTTTTTTTTTCAACTGATTTACTAAAATTTAAGCAACTTTCTTTAGACATATTTTTATTTCAAATACAAGCAACACAAATGTGACAGATATACATAGTACGACATCGG